TTTTTTTTTTTTTTTTTACAGCCGGGACCGACCTGGAGGCTGAGGGGCAGCTCGTGGATCCTTGTGGCGAGAGTTCGAATCTCTCGGTCGGACAGAACGCCCGAGTGATCTGTGTCGATCTCTTCAAACACCTCTGAGACGTTGAGCTGCTGCTGAGCGCTCATCAGGAAGTAGAAGTATGAAAAGGCGAACTGCATGTCTTCCGAGTGACGCACGCGGTGGGCCGAGGTCTTGTCAAACTCCTCTGGGAACCTGAAGGAAAGAGTAAAGCTCAATTTAAGATGCTGCCTCTTCAGGAAAACTTCAAGATCTCAAATAAAAGCCTCACGTGTCCTGCATCTCCTGCATGATGAGTCGATCGATCATGTGAGGCATATGCGCGGGGACTTTGCGGGATGTGAAGCCAAACTGGCTGTTGAGCAGCTTGTTGACGTAGCGAAGGGATTCGGCAAAAGTGTCCCGCAGCCTCCGGGCAGTGGCGCCGCCGTCGGTCTCGTACATCAGCTCTTTCTGCAGACGTTCTTCTTCCTACAGAGGCGACACAAAGGACACGATATCTAAAGGACTTCAAATGCACGGCTCTAGATGAACAGTGAAAGTCGTGGGCTCTTTTTTTTACCTCAAGTAGTTCCTGAAAGTACTTCCTCCTCTCCCACGGCAGAAAGCCTCGATCCCGGGAGGTGAAGTGTTGGAGTCTCCTCCCGACTGGAGCTCCTCCGACTGGAGTGTTGGTCGGGTCGTTCTGACTCTCAGCACTTCTGATTTTGGAAATTTTGTTCAGCAGCTTCAAAGTCAAAGGTCTTTCGATGGCGGCTTTCACTGGAGCTTTAGGTGCTTCCAGCTGTTTGTGCGTATCATCGATATGGACTGGGATGAGAGGAGTGACCCGTGGTTCTTTCACAGCCGTGCCTTCATTTGCGTTGTGATTTTGCTGAATTACACTTTCAGCTTTTTGATTTGGCTCTCCCTCCAGGTCTTTATAAGGCTTCAACTGGACCTTGACCTCACCATCATTAGCGAGCTGCTGCTGTTGAGCCAGTGTCTTGTAAGGTTTGAGAAGTTCAGCCTTTGTGAAGTTATAACCCTTCACAGTTATGTCACCGGCAAGTAGCTTCTCCTCGAGCTTCTTCAGCTCAGTGCGAACGACCGCTGGTAAAAGTGACACGTTCAGTGAAGGGACCTCTATGACAATCTGAGGCTGCCTCTTCTGGATCTTTGGACCTCGTTTGTTCTCTGGAACATCTGAGAAAGTGAAAACGGGCTCAGGAGTCAGTGTCGGCTTTGGCTCTTCACTGACGTCTTTGCTCGTGGTCTTGGAAACGTTGGCACGAGGAACCTCGCGGGTGTCGATGGCTACGCAGAAGCTCATCGCGAACTCCGTTTCATCTTCTCTTTGGAGGGTGAGGTTGTACTGGATCTGCGTGGCGTTGTGTCCGGGATAAAGAAGCAAGTGCACGGTCTTCCATTTGTTGGCGACAGAGGTGTGACGAACCACCGGGTTGTCGCTGACGTGGGCCTCGGAGATTCTGCGAGCGAGATTTCTGAAGCTGAAGTATGGCCTGACCTCTCCCACGGGGAGGGTGTAGAGGGTCTGGTTCTTCTGGAGGGTCACACTGTGCAGCTTGTCAAAATGCTCTGCAGACATAAATACACAATTATGGATTAGAATATTAGCAAGAAATTCAATCACAAAAAGTAGAGAGGTACTAAGTGTATTTGTTGGTACAAGTTACTACTAATAATAATAATACAGGGTTTTCTAATTAAAACAATAACAAAAGTCCTAATCTGATTGAATAAAAGTGTGGATTGTCTTTACATACTATCTCTCGAAATCAAAAGCATCTGATTTGCATTAAATTTACCTTGGCCACAGTCGCCCACATCGAAGCCGCACGCCAGGACATTGCAGGCTTGGTCGCAGAACTTGTCAGCGAGCCAGGAGTTGGCACAGCCTTGATTACAATAGGACGTCCCCCCGAGTCCTCCGATTCCACCTGCGAACTGCCACACATGTCCACCAGCTCCACCGGTCCCGCCAGCACCGCCCCCCACGGCGAACCGACTGTTCCCAGCTGCACCTGTAAGAAAGAGGGCAGCATATCATGTTTACACTATAGGACCAGGGAGCTACTGTTATAAACAAGTTGTCTTCTAAAACTTCAAAAACCTTTTTTTAATGCCGCTTGAAATTTAATTTCAAACTTGCAATGTAAATATTCACAATACAGACGAATACTCTTTATGAAAGCGTTGGTCTTACCCGTGCAGTCTCCTCCATCCCAGTCACACGCAGAGTTATTGCACGCTTTGTCACAGTAGCCATCTTTGATCCAGGAGCCTGGGCAGCCCTCAGCACAGTTAGGAACCGGCCAAGTGAGATACACCTGCAGAGAAGAGAGAGAGGAGCAGACTCAAGGTCAGTTTGTATTTAACTATCAAAGTGCAGCAACACATTTCAGACTGAAAACACGGTCGGCAACATTTCCAGACTTCTCGGTTTTAAGCTGTTGAAAACTCGTGTGGACGTGGCCTCAGCCGCACGATGCTGTGTTCACACCTTCTGTCCTTTCGAGTGGCTGTAGAAGTCGTCGGGCCACACGTCCTTGCCAAACATCACGTCGTCATTGAGGTAGATAAACTTCTGGGAGAGGCCTGGGATGCGGTGGATGTGTGTCTCTATAGCCGGAGAGCTAAAGGTGGGAAGGTGGCTGTGGTTCTGGAAGATGTCCTGCAAGTCAAGGAAAAAATTATTATACATACAGTCAAATTATATCATTTCAAACCGTGCCAGGCAGATTTTTATGTCAGTAAAAACATGCTGACAACCTCACACCGGAGCTTTTTACCTGATGTGAGACGACGGTGACTCTGGGGTTATCGAGGTTGAGCCACGAGGGAATCTGCCCGTTAGTGACGATGAAGATGTGCCTCACCCACGGAGCGTGTTGCTCCACCGAGCGCAGCGAGTAGCGGAGCTCCTCGTTGTCCTCGAATCTGCTGGCGGAGACGTCTTCATCCTGTTTGGACTGAAGATGAAAGCAGAGAAGAAAGAACTGAACCACCAGCATATCTTAGCTGTTTTAAATGAACTTACATGGTTTTCATTACTTCTACGTGCATCTTCTTTTACATATGAGAGACAGGAAGGAGCATTCGTACCTGTGAGATGGCGGTGAGGTCCCAGAATAGGTAGCCGGGGCTGATGGTTAACTCTTTCCCGTCCAGGGTCAGGTTCTTCTTCGCCTGCTGTGCCAGGTCAGAGAAGTCCTGCTGGGTTTTCAGGTGGAGCAGGGCGATGCTTGCCTCAGAGTACAACTCAAACTGAGGGAGAGACACAGAGAAATCAATTAAAGAGATCGGTTAACTCCGATGCAGCAGAAATCCTAATGTCCTATTTATCTTTAGTGTGGATCCAAACACTCTAAATCCTACATTTCCCACGAGGCAACATAATACAAACTGTGTATTTGTAGTAAATGTAATGCTGTTGGCTGTTTGCATGTGCTCCTAATTTAGGAACCTCTCAAACATCTCCAGGACCTATGATGAACTTCCATGAACTTCTCCTCTGCCGCCCCCGTGAGGTCGACATTTTTGGATTTGGGTGAGATATCAGGACAACTGCTGGGTGGCCTGTTGTGAATGTGGCACAGATAACGCAGGTCAGATGAGGATAAATTCTCATAACTTTGGTGATCCCCCGACTTCCTATATGGCGCCATCGTCAGGCGGATTTAATTTACCAGATACTTTGGCTCGTGACCAAATACCTTCAAAACTAGAGACATTCCCGGAGATAATTAGCAAACGTTGGTGCGCTCAAAGGCCAAAACTAGAACAGCCCAAAGAAGAGTGTAGAGTCTCCTCGTGAAACCTCATTTAAATTCATTAGATATGAAGTTTTATTTGGTTCTGCACAGAGTTGCAAACCTGATTCTGTGAAATCTGCAGTTTCACAACTTTAAAAAACTAAAATCATCACATGCACTGTGGGAAAATCCCAAATAGGATATTTCTCAAGAGTTGAAGTCACATGACGAGCAGCGTGATGTGATCTCATGACAGAGACGTTGTGTCTGTCATCGAGACACTAAGATTCCTGAAAGACGGAGACGAGACTTCTGATGTGATTTGTGTTGGAACAGCTCAGTGTGACCTCTGACCCCTCAAGGTACAGAGGTCAAATCAAAGCTGTGTGTGTGTGTGTGTGTGTGTGTGT